AGCCAATTTTCCAAAGAGATCCAGTTGTGTTCAGTTGAAAAGCCAGGGGTTATTTTGGTAGCCTCAGACTAGACATTAGTCTACAACACAGCATCACAGTGGGGTCCCTCTGAAGACCAGAGGATTTGAGAACTGAAAAAATTCAGAGGAAGGGGCATTTTGAGAAGAGTGTCCAGATGAACTACCTTTTCAACACTTCAGCGTGCAGGTGCTCAACCTGGCCTTCAGATTTTTAGCCATATTTGGTTTTTCTGGTGTGCCTTCCACAACTTCAGAGACCACTCCATAGCGTTTCAGCTACACTAGGAGGAGCAGCTACTCGTTCTTCGAGGAGCTACATGAGCTATGTGGTCACTCAGTCCAGAGCAGACTAACAAGAAATGCTAGACCCACAGTTTGAAATGCAGTCCAAGCTGTAAACAAGGGAACAGCGGCACAGAACAGGCATCGACCACATGCTAGTGGCCCCACACAGCTTTGTGTCAATTGAAATCTCCTGTCACAACCTCGGAAATACATTTCATTTCATGTCAGGACTAATACACCAGGATCTTCTCGGGAATTAAGAGCTCCCCCGTCTTGCTTTTGTGGCCGTGCTCCAGTTTCCAAACGAGCTTTAATTACAGGAGTGCGCTGAATGGTACTGCTGCTGCCAAGACAACAAAATCTCTGATTTATTTCTGCAGCAGACAACAGCTCTCTCCTTCAGTCCGCCCGCATTCCCAAGTCCTGAATATTACAGGACTAGAAGGGGACCTGCATAGCAGCTGCAGTACGCGTACAGCCGGTCTCCGAGCCCGCTTATAAGGAGATGCTCCAGAAGAGCGAATGCCCAGGACGTGGAACAATAGTACCTGCGCAGCAATGCTGAATTCAGGAGATTCACCGTTTTCCCTTTCAACGGGCACGTCCGTTTTTAGAGAATTCAAAACCGAGAATTGGACGAGCTGCTTCTTTTCTTCTCTGCTTTCGCAAAGATGACGCAAGCTGTAGTCTTCTGCAACAGCCAACTGCACTGATTTCGAGAGTCTTGCTATGCGCTGTTAACAGCCCGTTTGCTCTTACCTGGGATGCGCCTGTGTCCGACTTGGACTGAGATTATTGTTCTTCAAGACTTTTCACCTTTTCACCATTCAGAAGCTGGGGGGGGGGTTGGGGGGGCATGACATGTAATTGAAGACAAAGAATACCAAAAATACTCGAGGAGAGATCTTAATGTTTCAAGTTAAATGATTATAATCAATTGCAGGGGTAAAAGGGCTCATTCTAAGATTCTCTTTCTCCTTAATTGTCTCTGTATATCAAAATGCGTGGGATACTACTTCTATGCAAACAGTAATGTTGCTAAACCCTCAGAGGTTTCCTAATAAATTAAATATATATATAGTAATGAATACTGAATACAATGATTCAATAACACTCCATAATGGCAGGTACATCCTCACCACTGCACTACACCCAGTTACTATTCAGTATTCGGAAGATACAAAGAATCGCTAGGGGACAACTGGAGGGATAAATTCCTTTGGGCAGAATTCTCCAAAATTAGTTAATGAAAAGTGTGTCGCAGGGCTAGATTTAATCATGGTTATTGTAAAGCCATAAAGACTAAAATGAAGAAGAACGTATTTAAACTACCTAGGCATTCAATAACAACAGTTTCTCTTACAAAAGCCCAGGTTTAATTTTAATAATCGTAATGACAAGTGTGTTATGTCCTATGTCCCCTCTCAACCATAGAGAAGTGGCCTGGTTCTACCACATACTGCCAGGTTACAGCACAAACTGTTAAAAAGATTATATTCAGGATACATTGTTTGGACAGTTACTGGACAGATGGATCAAAATCTTTCTTGGCGAGACAACACACATTGGTATTATAGAGTCCTCCCTCACCAGAAGACGGAAATGTTCGCTAAGACACAGGGCAGAGGAAGAACTGGGATAACATATTGTCTGCTTTAATTTTACAAAGCCATGAACAAGGAATAGACAGTTCCTTTACCACTTTCCCGTGTGGGACAGTTTTCAAAAACATCTACCATCAAAATAACCTTAAATATATATATATATTAAGATACATAAGTTTGCACTAATGTAGATCACAAAACAGTATTCCTTATGCAGTACATGACATTTTGAGAATGTTTCAGTCATCTTTTTTTCTAATGCCCGTAAAGTGAAAAGCTCACATCATATGCTAGTGA